AAAAAATGAGCTGCACCACTGCAGGCTGCTGTAAAGGTGGCAGGACAGTGGATAGGAAATTAGGCATGCAAGGATGAGACGCTAGCTTTTCATAGCCTATCTCTGAGCACATGCATCCAACACACGTGCTACTCCATACTCCATGCAAGCACCTTCAATTCATCGTACCTTTCAGCTACATGCATGGTAGAAGGAAAAAGGGAATAAGAGGAGCAGAGGCAGATGTTCAGAGAAAAGAAAAAGGAAGGAAGAGAGGAGCATTCGGTCAACTGGTATAGTCTTGTGCAGAGAGCACAGACAGGGACGTTTACCGCTGCACTAGCGCCACTGTTATATATATACATACATACATACATACATACATACATATATATATATATATATAACGGTTTACTACTTTAGTCAATTTACAACGTCTAGCCAATGGAAAATTTCAGCAAAGCTCAAATTTAAATTTGATTCAAAAGCTATATATATATATGTATATCATTCTATTTATTAATGGATTTTATTTTATTTATAAAAGTTGCTTTTCATGCTTAATCTAATAGAACGAACCGTTTACTATCGATTGGCTAGAATTGTCGTTCAACATTCCTAAATATTTCTACGCACTGTGTAATTTAACTTGAGCGCTTAATTGAGTCCATGAAATTAAGTCACACAGGATTTGTTTATCGCTTCAAGTATGTTTTAAATAAAAAATTCGAGAAACTCGTTTCGAAAGTTTTACTTAGACCTAAATCGTAGTGCTAAATAAGATCGTAACATCGGGGTGTTACACATAACTCATTTTTGCGGTAGAAATATCAACACACTGCTAAAATCGTAATTGCACATTTAGATATTTTATCTTTTGCATATGTTTTTGTTAAGAATAGAAAAATAGGCCATAGTTTAGAATTAGAGTTTTAAGTTACCTAATTCACTCCCTCTTAGGCGTCATGGTCCCTTACAACATGTAACATCCAGATAAAACATATGATACATCTAAAACACATGAAACATATGAAGCTCGATGCCATGGAATAACAGAAAATTTTGGCCAGCACTCAAGCTGGCAACGATCAACCATCTCGGGAGCAACAAACGACGCATGCAGATGTGGACCCATGCTTCTCTTATAACTCCCAGCACCTGTTCTTCTCTCTCTGTATTCACATGGGCCCCACGCACCACATGCAGCCCATGTCGAACGAATGGCCCCACATGCTCCCGTGGGCTATCCCGCGTCGCATGCCTCTCCAGCCGAACGAGTGGTCGTACGTGATCGCATGCGCTGCCCTCCAAGAAAGGACGGGTGCGAGCTCCTGCAACTGCCGTCACTACGCAACCACTCCAAACTCGACTCCCCTCCCACGGCCTTCTCTCGCCTTCCGCGTGCCCGTTCTTTCCCCTTGACGACAACGATAGAGGGTGGCCCGCTAGCCGTCAACAGAGTTGTGCGCTGGCCATAGTGTGCTTGCCAAGCGGCCGGCCTTAGACTGTCTCTAACAATCGTGACCCAAAATACAAGACTCATTCGTCTTTGGGTAGTGTTACAGGTAAATGGTTCAATATCTATTTTTTGTCTTCTCCAACAACAAGACCCAAAAGACAACCTTTCTACAAATGGATCTCTAGGAGAGAGGATATTTAGATTTGGGTTATGCCTCTCCAAACATCCAAAATAGGTCTTTTATATATGTACTATATTGGAGGCTATATATATTGTATTAGAGATCTATTTTAAGTTTAGATTCCACATTGGGTCTCCTGTGAGAAACCCGAAACCGGGAAGAAAAAGAACACACTTGATCGTAACTTTCACAGCTCCTTTATAAATTCGGATCTAAAGTTATCAGATTGCCATGCAAAAAAAAAAAAAAGCCTTTCAGTAAACTCCCATCGTGCATCGTAAAAAAAAACGTGTGCAGTCGTTCATGGCAACACACCATCCAGAGGGAAAATACGCATGTGAGGTGCGTTACCAAGGCTTGTATGGCCGTATCCCCTCCACATTTCTCTAGCTCCGCTCCTGACGATAAGGATGGCGTTACATTAAAAATCAAAATAATGTCAAAATGGTTTATATGTTTGATATAGAAGTTACGATATATAGGCCCTGTTTGGTTGGGTTTTTGGCTTTGGTTTTTGGCCCCAAAAGTCAAAAGCCCAACCAAAGGGGCTGTTTTTGGAGGGTGCTTTTTCAGAAGCAGCTGCTTTTCCGTAGTTCATTTTAAAAAGCTAGGTTGACCCTGCTTTTGGCTTTTGGCTTTCTGCTTTTCGAAATTGGTGGAATAAAAAGCTCTTCCATAGTTGTTTCAAGAGAGATAAAGATAAAAGGTATATTTTATACTTGTTTAACCAAACAAATTTTCACTTTTCTCACATAGATTTCACACTACAATATATCAACCAAACAGGGCCATAGTTAGAGGTTGGATGTGTGGCTGCTTCGCATTAGCAGAGCATATATAGGTACATGTGTGATAGAAATAATAGGATAAACGTACAACCTTACACTGGAATTTCCGAGTGTAAGACTGTCTTCAACAACCATTACCTAAAATATAAGACCTATTTTACGTTTATGTAGCGCTACAAGTAAAGTGTTCAATATCTATTTTTGGTCTTCTTCATCAACAAGACCCAAAAGAGAACCCTTTCTGTAAATGTATCTTCAGAGAGATGATACTTAGATTTGGGTTATACATCTCCTGACACCCAAAATATATCTTCCATATAGGTACTCTGTTGAAAGCTATATGCATTCTGTTATAGACCCATTTTAGATTTGGGTCTCCAAATAGGTCTCATGTTGGAGACAGACTAAAAGAAATGGTTTTACCCAAGAAAGGCACACCGACACGTGAATTGGAGGACCATGTTAGGCTATCTCTACCCATAGGACAAACTAGAGCCATCTATTTTGATATAAAATATCTTGACAACACTTTGAAAGAATTTTTATAGCAAAATCTAAAACTATTTCAGATCTAAAACAAATTTTAACAAGCTGTATATACTTAATCAACCATCAGCCAAGAGGGTTAGAATAAGGTTAGGGATTAGTATCATCTTTGATTTTTTTTATTTTTTCTTTAATTCATTTATGGGTTTTTAGGCCTTCCGCGGTGTTGCGCTTGAGTGATGCCAATAGAAGAAAGAGAAGATTTTAGCTTCGCTCCTCACACTGCAGGTAGTAAAGCTAACTTTGAGTGATGCCTAGAAAATGGGAGCGGTGCACGTACATGCACAGGTGCCAAGTGATGCACAATCAATAAAATAACACGAGGAAAGGGGAGCAGGCGGCGACAGTACGTGGCAACTGAGGAAAGAGGAAGGAGTGTTTTTCATTTTTTTATTTTGTTTTGCACGCATGGTGCAGAGGTGGTGGATCCCTGAAGTGGTGCGAGTATAGATGGCCAACGGGTCGGCACGGCACGGCCCGAAGGAGGTCGGGCCGGCAAGGCACGGCGTGCCACCCGGGCCGTGCCCAGCCGGACGTCGTGCCTGACCAAGGGCTTAGACACGACCTGCTAGGGCCAGTTTTTCAGGCCGGGCCAGCCCAAGAAGGCACGGCCTGCCAAGCGTGTCAGGCTGACCCGAAGCCCACAGAGAGAGGGAAGGGCAGACCCAGAACGCCCGCCAACTGCCGCCTCGTGCTGCTACCGATCCTGCTCGCCCTAGCCTTGGTCCCACCTCGTGAGCTCCTTGCCCCTCTCATATCTTCCCAACGCCATTCCATTCCGTCTGGATTCCGGCTCGCCATTGCATTATGTCGTTGTTTCCCATCTGATCCTAAGGCGTGGCCTACTTGTGTAGTTCCACAAGGAGGGATCACGCTCCACTGCCCTGAGGTGAAGTTTGCTGCATTGCTGCAAGCATTATAGGACTTGGTCCAGAGAAGAATTTCTGCTCTGGGTTCAGACGAAGGAACCCCCCAGGCTATGGGAGAATCCGCGTGCTGCGACTACATATTGGAAACCCTGTGCAGAGCCGCGCAGCAGTGACGAGCCCTCAGGCAAGTCCACCATTCATGTTGCTTATAAATACAGTAATGTAGCACATATTGCATCCTTACCTTATACATCTCCCCAATCACTTTGAGGTCAGTAGCTAGTATGAATCAATTTCAAAGTTCTTGGTGTTAGACGGATTCTGGGTTGATTAGAAAGAGGTATTAGGAGAAAGAGGACGTGGATATGAGGAAGATGCTCAGGGATTTTTCTTTTTGTCATTTGGTGTCTAATGGCTCGGTAATAGCATTTCCTGGAATGATGGTTTGTAAAAGAAAAACTGATTTAGTTTCTATATATGATAGAATCTGAGGAGATTTCTCTCAACTTATTTCAAGAACAAGTGACTGTAGTACCATACGACACTAGGTCGATACTTTGGTTCAGTAGCCACATATTGCCGAAATTGGTGGCAAGCAACATGGTCTATTTGAGATATTAGGAGCTATTTGTTCAACACAACAGGCCACAGCTTGGATATGTGGGTGATTTTCTTCCAAGGCTTTAGTGGGAAGAGGTCTTTATGCTTGATCTACAAACAGGACCATATCTCTTGAGAGTTTTTTTTTCTTGGGTGCAAGAACATGGAAAGCTTGCGCCTTCCCTTTGATAGAGGATTTGTTTTGTGGTTCTTGGTTGGGAGTAGAATTATGGGTTCGAGACAGATTGCAGCGTTCTAACTAAGTGGTGGCGCTCACGATATCTTGTTATCAATATCTAGAATTCTTAGGATGGTCCTCACCTTGTAAGTTATGTTGTCTTTTGAGTCCTTTGATGCCATAATGGGTTTGCATCTCCCACCCCCTTCTTTTTGGTTAGTAACTTAATATCCATGATTCTAAAATATCAGTGAAACACATGCATAAAACTGAAGTTCTGTATCCATCATTGCTGTAGTAAATCAAGCACATTAATCTCCATGAAATAAATGAATACAGAGTCCTTTTTTGGGCATCAAAGTTGTGTGCAATCAGATATCCTGTTCTTCATCCACATTCCTTAGATTTCATATGAGATTCCGACCTTTAGGATCTGGCGACGGGGTATTGACAGCATCTTCTCACCATTTCTCGAGTTCTTTCTAAGAAAAGAGTATAGGTAGTTGACAGCTATCTTCTTAATGAGTGAGGAATGGGGTCTTGCCACCACCTCACTCTCTCCAAATATGTACACCACACCTTTACTCATCTCTTCAAGGACAGCCTGTTGCTCCTGTTGAATCTTCAGCATCTCTACTATATTCATTTTGTCTCCCTGACACAAAGTTGAACAAGCATCAGTACCACCATTCGAACAGAAATTTAACGGATACTGATAAAGCCAAGTCATTACAGAATGTAGGTGTCTTTATGTTTATATGAGGATAATGCAATAGATTATTCACCTGAAATTGCATAAAATGCTTGCTCTTTCCACTAGCTTGCCTTGTGTGCTCTGAGAACGACTCTGCTGGTGTGAGCATCTCCTCATCATAGACTGCCTTTACTTTGGGTTTTTCATAGCTACCAAAGCTCTCAGCGTGAGAACTGCGGTAGCTGGAGGACTGCTTCATCATAGGCTCACAACCCACACCATAGAGGTTGACATCCCGGATGTAGTACTGGAGATGCTCTACAAGTTTATCAACAAAGGCCTTGGCCTCCTCAAAGGGGTCTCGGTACCCATACCGTGCCACACATTGGAATACCTTATAATCTTCTCTGTCTACCTGTCTAAAGAGAAAGCGTTCTGACATGTCGACAGATGGAATTGGCAAGTGCTTCATTGAGACGAAAATAAGCACTGAATGGATGGAAGGGATCTTCTCGATGAGATGACGGAACACTGGGGGTATGCCTTGAACCAACTCAGTATAGAAGAGGCCAATCCCTGGTACTCTCTGTATGTCACGGCGCTCAAGGAGTTCTTTCACTTTGTCACGGGGCACAGAATGCTCGAGCTCAAAGTTGTATTTCTTCACATGCACATAATGCCATACAATCATCACCACCATCAGGAATGCTGACATTGCCACAGGCACATATGCCCCATGCGCAAATCGATATAGGATAGCAGATAGATAAATTGACTCAGATGACATAAAAACAACAAAGAACGCAACAATCCACCAGATACTGATCTTCCATACTAGGAGCATCACGATTGTCAACAATAGGGTTGTGACAATCATCACAAGAACAACACATATACCTACATGGAAGGAAGAGACAAAGTCACATTTCTTTAGATTTGAAGATAGGCACAATACAAATGTAACTATAATTATAAGTTCTTAGGATCTTACCATGAGCTTCCCCAATGATGACGGTTGTCCTGAAGCCAATTGTGACAAGGCAAGCGCCCAAGCACAGCAAGTAGTTTACTTCAGGGATATATAATTGGCCCGAGTATTGCCTTGAGGTGTGCAGTATCTTTACCCTTGGAAAGCAACCAAGTGTCTGGGAATGTGAAATTGTTGCGAAGGCGCAGGAGATCATGGCTTGGCTTCCAATGATCGATGCAGCTAGTGCAAGAATGAACGTTGGCCAGAACAACGAGACTGCGTCCAAGTGGATATATATAAATGTCTCGTAAAGAATTCAGATGTACATATGTACCAGTGAGATACCAAGTGTTGGATTCTATACTTACTTGGAGTTGATCTGTAGAAAGTGTTAGCCACATCCTCCGGGTGTACTCTCAAGTATGCTGCTTGCCCAATGTAAGCAAGCAATACTGACGGGACTAAACCGAAGCCAAAGCTTAGCTGAAGCAGATGAAAGAGAATGTTAGTCTTATGGATTTTTTAGTGGTATGATAAATTAATGATCTTTTGTTCTTTAATAAATATTAAATGATACACATACCTGGATTGATTTGATGCTGAAGTATCCTAGATCAGCAAAAAGAGCTTCTGTGCCTGCGATATTTGCAGAATATTTCCTCAGTATGCATTCAGTGTCATGTTGTGCAGACTCCTGATTCTAGCACAATAGGCCACTATTTTTTTGATATACAAATGGTACCTGTGAAACAAAGGAGTATGCCTCCAAGGGAGACCCATCCTTTTTTCTTGTTCCTTCTAAAATAGTCGATGATGTATTTCATATTGAATGCCCTGAGAGCACCGGTATCATACTTTATCAGGTTGTATAACCCAACGCCTGCAATGAGGAGCAGCCAGAGGAGGATGATCGGCGCAAACAAGTAACCGACTTTGTCTGTCCCGAACCTCTGGATTGCGAACAGCACCACCAAAATTCCCACGGTGATCCAGACTATCTCATCTGTGTAAAATATCACATGTCATTGTTGTGCATGCACCTCATTCATATGTACTAGAAAATCAACTGTGCCATATTTTCTTCAAAGTATAAGTTCATTCATATGTAGTCGGTTGTGTGCAGTTAAAACAGACAATGAATCCTGTGCATTTTTTTTATTGAATTAGACTGGGCCACATATACTTCTTAGGCTGGGCCACATATTAATTGCTAACGGCGACAGTTCACTCCATGTCTTCAGTTCCAAAGATGGCCGGCAGATTTGAAAGTCAATAACAGAGGCATCGAGAGTCATTTTAGGTGCACTGTATATACTTGTGGCCCAGAGTCATTTGTAAATTACACATATTAACGTATATGTGGAGACCATTGATACAGATTGGATGGTAATGGGGCAACATCCTTATAGATTATTGTCTGGAGTATTAATTGGTAACAACGACAGTCTTTTGCAAGTCTTCAGTTTATTAGCTGATAGAGATGTCATAATCATAAACAGTACTAGCGTGTAGAATAAAGTTGGGACCTCAAATTTTCTGCTGCCACAATATTCTGTTCCTACTTCAAGGATTTCTCACATGAAAGTGAATCTAGAACAACTTTATGAAATATGTGTCTGAGTTGCACGTTCGCGAAAAAAGAGAATATAGAACAACTTTTGAGTGGTTTTCCTCATACCTGTTGTAAGAAAAGACGCCTTTTCTTTTAGACCGCCAACAGCAGAGAGAACTGCGCATTTTCAGGCAAGAGGAAGAAAACCGAACCATGTTAGATTATGCATATTGTACTTGATATCTGCTTGGAAATATACTCAAATCCAGATCATGGCAAATAATGTACTCAAGATAAGTTTTTTTTTTAACCTGAAATTGCAGGAGTCAGAATAGCGTCGCTGATAACCATGGCGGTGGCGAGCATGGTGATGAGGAAGAGGGAAATCTTTACAGTCTTGTTCGTCTCGAGCAGCTCCTTCATCCACTCAGCTCTCCGGAGCGTCGCCGGCGGTTTGTCGCGGTTGTACTTGGAGACGAGCTCGTCTTCAACCTGCTGGTTCGGGATCAGGCTCACCTTGGCGTGGCGCGAGATGAGAGTGTAGAGGGCGAAAGTTCCACCTGGAGCAGAAGGAAGGAATCAGTTTGCTTGGGGTTTGATTAATTTGTTTGTTTTGCGACTTTTCTTACGGCATCTACTGACTGTTGCGGTCTTCTGCTATCACATCTGATCTTACAGCCAAAGTCTTTGGATTGGATGGATATGGGTCAAGCAACGGTGAAGGGAAAAGACTGAAAAGAGCATGACATTTCTGTAACCTAGCTGTTACATGGTTATTGGAGCCTCATGAGTTGGTCCAGGAAGTCCAAACTTACCATTGACTGAGATAATTACACCCATCTCAGTCTCAGATAACACCTAGCTAGCTAGCTTGTACTATCAACTACTAGTGTATATCTTTAACGTGACTTGATATGAATTATGATGCAGTCTCCGGTGCATGTCTGGCGAGTTAGTCTCGCATTGGACTAGTATGTACTACTGCACTGCATGACAGCATGAAGCAAGGAAGTTTTTGGTTGCTGACGTACCATCACCGTCGTCGTTGGCTCGTAGGGCGATGTAGACGTACTTGATGACGGTGAAGAGGAGGAAGCTGTAGATGATGAGGGAGAGCGCCCCGAGCAGGTCGTCCGGGTGGCCGACGCCGTCCCGGAACGTGCTCGAGTACACGAACAGCGGCGACGTGCCAATGTCGCCGTACAGGATCCCCACGCACTGGAACGCCAGCCGCAGCGTCGTCCCCCAGCTATCCTGTGTTTTGTTACGCGCACAAGTTCATCGATCGATCAGCACGCGATGATCGAGGCAGAGGCAGGCATCGTACGTGCTCAAATTTTCATACGTCGATCGTCCTGACAAAACAAACAAGCTAGTACTAGCTAAGGTAGTGCAATACTGAACAGCAACCTGTCCGTGGTGGTTCGCGCCGGCGGCTCTTGTTGCGGCCATGTACAGGGAATCCTGCCGCTGCATGGTCGCCGGCACGTCGTCGTCGACAGCGGCCTCATCGCTCTCGAGGTCCATGATGACGATCTCTTCCCTACTTCCTCTGCTGTCAGCTGCTTGTTGGGCCGCCATACATACCAGCTGATAGATAGCTAGATCGTCTCTGCTGCTGCTCTCTATATGAGGTGGAAGCACACAGGATCGGAGCTGGCCTGGTCTGTGTTACTAGCTACGTACACAAGGATATGTACTAGCAATATATAGCTAGTACCGCAGCAGTTGTAGTACTTGCCAAGTACGTCGTCCGAGCTCTAGGTGAGCTCAAGAGCTTGGGCTCCCTTTTATAAGCTCTGTCCCCTGAGGAGCTGCTGATGGTTCTGCTACCTAGTACGTAGCTCCGTTACTTCTCGTCCACGTGCTGGTTCCATCTTTGAAAAATCGTCGTTGGAATCGATCGAGAGCCTCAGCCTTTTCCGGTTGTCGGTCGTCACAGAATGCATCATCGTCTCATCGATACCTACCCGGCCGGCAGTTTCGTCAGTAGCTACTTTGGCAGGCAGAGTCCATGGATGCAATACGCACTGTCGCAGATCGAGAGGCGGCCGCCGGATTGGCTTTGGCTTTTATCTCCTGCTGCGTTGAATCTTTTGACAAATCGTTGCTTGCGATTATTGAGCCATCCATCCATGTATACATAATACATCACTGCCGTTGTGACTCGCTGGAGTAACAAGTCCAGGTATGTGTGGCAGTCAAGACATGAACTGTCGCGGTAGGCGCTTTTCAGTAGTTTTGGCATTAGCATCGCTTTGTCCGCGTAGAAGCCAGCGAAGTCGCCGGAAGCGTAAAGCTCAGATGAGGCCTGCCCAGTTCGATCGCGCGCGTCCGTCCGCAGTTGCTTCACTTGCGACCTCGATCGTGACATGGTAGCGTTGCATTACCAACTCGCTTTGTCGCTTTGCTTCTTCGAGTCACCGGGTTCAGACGCGAGCACAAGGAAACACAAGAAACCTCCTGCTTCGATCGTTTTGCATAAATTGCTCAGGCGGGCAAAGCGATTTCAGACGACCGGTTTCAGACGCATGACAGATCTGATCAAAGTTATTCAGAATTACAAGCTTACTTACTGTTACTCCATTTCTTCTAAATTTGAGATAGCAAGGTAATAATTTTGAGCCATTGATTTTTTTTAGATTTTTTAAAATAATTAATTAACCTAGAAAAAAATGTTTTCAAATCCCTGCATGCACGGGAGAAACAGAAACAGGCCGCCTGACCCGCGGCCCTTCCCTTTCATTGCACAGCCTGGCGGATCCATGCATGCGTGCGTATATTACCATAAAAAAATCCGCAAAGTCCATCGTATATGTATACAACAGCTAATGCATTTTCCCCTAAAAAAATGCTAACGCATTTTATCCGATTAAAAAATACGTTACATACAATACATTAATTGGGGGCTAAATTTTAGCGATCTAAATATGTTACACGCTAACATATTACAGGTAATCGAGTGTGCGTATTATGTTAACTCGAATGAAATTATATTATATTATAAAAATTGAGAAGGCCTTGAAATAAATCACGTATTTGTCAAGTATATTGAGCATCTAAATTTTCATGGAGGTTGAACATGTTTGTTGGGAACGTACACACGTAAAAAAATGGCGGCCTCATCATGTATACAGCGTGATAATATATATTTTTCTTAAAAGTGGTAAAAAATTTTTATAATATATACTTAGTTTCATATACGCACATAAAGTTTCATATTTGTGCATGTAAGTTGGCACATATATACACATGTTAGGTTGCGTTCCTGAGTTACAAGTGCATCAAAAAATAATTAGTTTATTCTAATTCAGTTATATTATATCTAAAGTTGCAGAAATAAAAAGATTTACCATATCTAAAAGATCATGTATGCATCAATTAAATCATAAAAAAAGATATTTATCTAAAATTTTCCTTATTTCACCTACTACATTCTAGAAAGTAATAAGTGACTCTAACCATCCGATTTAATTAAATGAATGGATCATAGTTATTTGGGGTACCACAGCAAAACCAACAATTCAAAAATACATGGAGGTGTGATGAAAAAATATAAAAAATATGGAGAATAGAAAGGCATATAAAATTATCTATTTCAATCGAGCAGATAAAAGAGAATAAATCTCTACTATAATGAACCAATCAAAATTATACTGCGTACCCTAGAAAAACGTCCCCCGCTGAGAGCCTCTAACCATTGTGCACCCAAAAAATAAACATAAAAATTCATCTACATTAAAATCAAAGGCTAATAAAACAGACCATCCAAATCCGATGGCCGACAAAAGAAGTTTGATGCGTGTCTTCAAACGCGCCCACGCAGGGCTTCAAACGCTTGCCACGCACACTCCGTCCCCAGCAGGGTTCCAAGTCTGAGAACACAGAATAAAAAGAGCAAATGCCGGGATTAGGGCCCTGTTTGGTTCTAGGGAATGGAGACTAAAAGAGGACTAAAAGAGGGACTAAATAACATGTTTGGTTTTAGGGACTAAAGGGCTGAACAAAGACTAAAATATTATTCTTCTTTCTTTGGACAGAGATGAGGGAGGTGAGAGAGGGAGGGATAAAGGCTGTAAAGTTAGTCCATTAGTCTAAAAAACATCTCCCAAAGAATTAGTGGACTAAAGACTAAAAGTCTCTCTAGTAGTCCATTCTATTTAATTAAAAGGGAATAAAAGGGACTATCTCTAGTATCCATAGATGGCCAATGGGTCGGCCCGGTCCAGCACGGCACGGGCCCGTGCTAGGCATGGGCCGATAGGGCACGACACGGAAGGGCCCATTGGGCCACCGAGCCGTGCCTCACTAGTCCATCGTGCCTGGCCGACGGCACAGGCACGGCCTGTCGGGCCAATTTCTGTGCCGGCTTGGCCCGATGAGCCCGGCCTTTTTAGCAGGTCGGGCCGGCCCGAGGCCCACCAAATGCGACAGAGAGGAGGGGGAGGCGAGGAGTGGAGGTGGCGGCGGCGGCCGCCGAGCCCCCCCGGGTCGCTTGATGCCGAATCCGACGAAGTAGCAGGCGGAGGAGGCGAGTCCGACGAAGTAGCGGAAGGATCGAGGGCGTAGAAGGCCGGATCAAGGCCGCTCCGCTCGAAGCCGCTGCAGGGGGACGCGGAGGAGGTGGCTAGACACGCGGGGGTCGTGGAGGAGGCGGCCGTTGCCGTGCTCGACGGCGGCGTTGCTGTCGCGCTGGACTTCAGCGTGGTCGAGGGATGGGGTGGAGTCGAGGAGGAGCGGGGTTGGCGCCGCAAAGGGGATGGAGGCCACTCCGCTCGAAGCCGTGCGGGGGGCGCGGAGGAGGCAGCCACAGCCAGACGCGCGGGGGGCCGTGGAGGCGACGACCGTCTGCTGCACTCGACGTCGTCGCATGGTGGAGGTGGAGCTCTGGAGTTGGTGGCATGGGGATGGGGGGAGGCGAAGTGGAGTGGAGTGGGGGCGGCGGCGGCGGCGGATCTGGATCTCGACCGGCGAGCGGAGGTGAGGAGCCCCGAGCCCACGACGGCGTACCTCACTGGCGGAGTGGAGAAGGAAGGACGGAGGAGCGAGCCAGGCGGGACGCGGGGTGGAGTGAGAGTGTGACGCGCGTAGGGGAACCTACGGTGCCGCACCTGGACGGCGAATGAAGAGAGGGAGCGAGGGAGAGAAGAGTTGCGATAGGGTTAGGGGGAGCCAGGGAGGTGAGCTGGGGGCGCGGCCACATGGTGTTGGCAGGCCGGGCCGCCAGCGGGCCTCCGGTTCAAGAGTGGGCCGTGCCATGGCGCCCCACATGCCTGGGGTAAGGCCCAGACACGACTTGCTCCTCCAGGCCATGCCAGCCTAGACTCGCTCACCGTCGGGCCAGGTCGGGCCAAAAAAACTGGCCTTGGGCTAGGCCGACAGGCTCGAGCTACATGGCCATATATACTAGTATCTAGTGCCGTGTAACCAAACATGCCTAGGTCTTTAGCCGGGATCTCACCGTTGCCGCACGTGCTGCCATCTCCACGCACGCCTGCCAAGGCCGCACGTGCCGTCGCCTCCGCCTCTTCGTCTTCCTTCGCCAGTCCCAGCATGTGAGCCTGCAAGGAGCCAGGGGCCACGCTGCTGTGCTCGCACGACCTCCCCTCCTCCATGGCCGCGCGACCTGGTACCCCGTCGAGGTCTTCTCCTAGGAGCGCGTGACATCGAGGTCTCCATCCCCTGCCCACAGCCCCACGGTAAGTCCCAATCCAACCTCTGATTTTGGATTGTGGAACCCTAGAGCTGTTCAATTTGTAGTATGCGATGCTCCGTACTTCTGCTCCAAGGGATTTCCCTACATCAGCTTTTTCGTCCTGCATCTGCGCAAGGAACAGATGGATGCTGCGCAAGGAACAGATGGATTTGGTTACGGTCCGATGTGAGAGTTAGGGATTGATATTGGAGAATTGTGTCGTCAGGTTCTGCTTATTCTTATGCAAATACAATATTATGAAATATTTGATTTATCAATGAGAATAGGCTGTAGTTTTTTGTTGTTACATTTTGAAAGGATACACATTGATTTTTCTGTTGTTACATTTTGAAAGGATATGCATTGATTTTGTCCTGCTTGTCTTCCTTTCAGTACAAGCCTGTGTCATGTACCCTGCAAGCACACAAAGAAGACAAAATTAAGGTTCATTATCATGTAAATATATGATCTGTATACCTGTTTAGCCTTGCTGTATTTTCCACATTAATTTTTCAGTGATGTAGCCCTGTAAGGGATTGCTCTCATATACAGATATGGCTTAACTCACACAGTTAATATAGCTACGCAGAAGAACTGAGCTAATGGTTGGCAGTATGATCTTTGTAGATGCAATATCTTGTCTCATATATGGTTTGCCTTTTCATGTTTGATAAAAGCACTCCTTGGTACTTTTCATGTGCTAATTGTCTCACTGATGGATCAGTTTTTTATTGTAGCTATGACAGAGGTGACCGTTTGAATACTCTTGGAAATGTCCAAGTGATAAAAGGTTATTGTCCTTCACTATAACAATAAACTTTCTATGTTTATCTGTGGTCCAGTGTCCATACTAAACTGTATAGGACTACCAGCATGTTCCTGTTTG